CCCACCTGGCTGTCCACACCGCCCGGATTAGAGTTCACACATGCCGGTCCACGGCCAGCATCCCCACCCAAGCGCGAGCCCGCTCACAATCGGCGCATATGCGCGTGTGGGAACACCCACGGCAGCAGCAGCAGCAGCAACAGCAGCAGCAACACGGGGCTGGAAGGCAATGGCCTGTGTGCAACCCATTCGAATGCCCCGTACACCCTCAGCCAGGGGACAAGGCAGAGGGGCGTCACGGGCCAGACACGAAAGGCAAGGTTTGTGTGTGTGTGTGTGTGTGATGCTCGCCCCTGCTGCCGCCTGGTGCCATGCACTCGCACATGCCTTCCTCCGTCCACGGGCCGGCTCATGCCCCAATCCACACATGGCCAGATGGGGCATGATCACACACCGACACACACACACACACACACACACACACACACTGACACGTCCCCTGCCCATGCGAAGGCCAGGGACCGATGGTCGGGCACGGATTCTCGGCCGCTCAAAGGAGGGGGAGGCACACAAGCTGGAGAGGGCTGGTGCCGCCGCACATGCCCAACATTGGCCGAGCGCGCTCGGAGCCAGAGCCCGAGAGAAAGAGGACCAGCAAGCGAGCGGATTCACCCCCGCCCCCCCCCTCTCCCCCTGCCGCGATAGCCGGGCGGAGACTCGCGCGCCGGACGCCGCACAGGCAGACCCACCACTGGCCGGGGCAGAGGGGACACATACATGCACCGCCAGGGCCACATCATGGCACGCGGTGACTTCCCTGTATGTGGCACGCGCAGAGCGGTCCGCATATGATCGGCTCCAGCAGCCGGTGCCGCCCGGCCGAGAGGCAGGGCCACCAACAGCCGCCGCCGCCGCCGCCGCCGCAGTAGCAGCCACCCCCCTCTCGGTCTTTCCGCTTCCGTCCACTCCATCGCGAAAGCACCACACGGCGAGTCCTCTCGCGACCTCGTTGGCTCTTGTGCCTTTTCGTGCCGCCGGTCCGAAGCACAAAGGCAAGACAGCCCCCCTCGCCAGGTAGGTGCCTGGCCTGGCCCTGCGGGGCGCATCGTGCCACCGCTCCTGCCCCTCTTTATCTGTGCTTCTCTGCCACTGGCAACGTGCAGGCCAGATGTCCCGTGTCACCATGTCTCTCTCTCTCTCTCTCTCTCTCTCTCTCTCTCTCTCTCTCGCGCGCGCGCGCGCGTGCAATAACTTTACGAAAAGACACGAGCCGAGCTCCCTCCCTCTCGGACGCCTGCGCGCCAGGCATGCTCCCTCGGACCGGGGTCTGGCTGCGCGGCCTTTCTCCCGCGCCTGGAACCCGTGGCACGGTGCTCCCCTTGCTTCGGCTCGGCTGATGGCCTGCTTCGAGAGGCCCCCCCCCAGCCTGGCGCGCCCCCGCCGGCCGGCGTCGTCGCTGTCTGCTGCAGGAGCCCGTCACAGGGCCTCGGATAATCCTGTCGACGACCGGCGACACCGTCACGCGCCGGTTCCCTCCTCGCGGGGGTGCGCAGCGTCGACCAAGAGCCCCCGCATCAGACACATGTACACACACACACACAAACTGACGCAGGGCCAACTGCAGGGAGGGGGCGGTCACTGACCATGGGCCCGGGAACGAAGGGGGAGGGCGGACAAAAGTGGTCCCCCGGCCCCGCGAAGATGCCGCCTCGCCTCCCCCTCCGCGCCGATCCGCCGCAAATGTCCCCGCCGCGCGTGCCCGCTGCCCCGGCCGCCATCATGGAGCAGCGGGGCCGGCCCATGGCGGGACAGATGGGAAAGGGGATCGCGCGGCGGGCGCCCGAGGCACGGGCAGGAAGACGCCCAGGGCAGGGCCGTAGGCCCGAACATGCAGGAGGTGGCCCACTCATCAGCCCGCCGGGCCCGAGGCCGGGAGAAGGAGTGTCACCGCCCCAGCCCCGACGGGGCGGCACCCTCGTCCCCACGCCCGACCCACGCCGTGGCCGCGCGAGGCGGTGTGGCGCCACTCCAGTCTCCTGCCTTTCGGTGCAAGTGCGCCGGGTACGTGCGCGCCGGGCGCGGCTACTCCACGCTGCTTGACAGGACGCATGTCCCCCCCCCCCCCCCGCCCCTGGAGCCATGCGCGCGCACACAAACACACTCTTGGCTCCCGAACATCGAGGGGAGGCCGGGGCCGAAGGAGGCCGGCTCACTGCCAAGCCTGCCAAGATCCCCGCTCGACAGCGGACGACGCGGGTCACCGGCGACGCCGCAGGCTCCGACACCGAGGCGAATCCACCGGCCGCGGGCTTCTCCCTCTCGCCCTCCCTCGCTCTCGGGACCGGGCGATCCTCTCCCATGCCTCGTGAGCGGTCAGGCACGTGTGGGCCGCCGGAAAGCCATGCGCCGCTGGTGGCACAGGCGACGGTAAAGCCCCGGGCCCGCCCCGGGCAACGTGGCCGCCACCCGGGCGGCGCCTGCGGCGGCCGAATCGCCGGACGGCCCGCGACAGGGACGGTGGGCAGACGGACGGGCCGATCGGTTATGGTGCGTCGAGGCGCGGGGCTCGGCAGCGCTGGCAGATCAGGCGGAGGCGGCGAGCGCAAGTGCATGCCAGGGGGGGGGGGGGAGGCACCGGTCGATCGGCCAACATGCCGAATTCGTCATCCGGGGTGACGATGAACGCTGCTATTCTTCGGGTCCACGGGCCCGAGGCGCCGGTGGGCCGGCCGCCCGGCAGGGGGAGGCGGCCCCCGGGGCACATCCTGCCCCAGCTCCCCCGCCTGGCCCTCGCCCGATGGGCGGCCACTGGCAGCTGTGGCCATTCGGCTGCTCCACGCCCGGCGGCGGGGAGACGCCGGGCGGGTGCCTGCCACCGCCGATACGCTTGGCAGGGCGAGCGGCGATCCTGACCTGAGATGTGCAGTGGCTCGACCCGGCCGTCGAGAGGGAGCAGCGGCGGGATACCAATGGTGGCCCGTCGCGTGGCGGAGGGACGGCACGTCGCGGGTTGCGTGCGCCACACGGGCTGCCGGCCGAGGGGGCCGAGGGAAAGAGAGGGCGCGGAGGAGAGAGAGAGCGAGAGCGAGAGAGAGAGAGAGAGA